GACCCCCCCGCCCCCGAGGTAGTCCCTACCCCGTCTGACTGGACCAAGGCCTGTGAGGCCAGCTGGCAGTGGGGGACTCTGACCACGTGGAACAGCCCCCCGGTGGTCCCGGCCAACGAGCCCAGCCTGCGGGAGCTGGTGCAGGGTCGCCCCTCCGGGGCCGAGAAGCCCTACATCTGCAACGAGTGCGGCAAGAGCTTCAGCCAGTGGTCCAAGCTGCTGCGCCACCAGCGCATCCACACGGGCGAGCGGCCCAACACCTGCTCGGAGTGCGGCAAGAGCTTCACGCAGAGCTCGCACCTGGTGCAGCACCAGCGCACGCACACGGGCGAGAAGCCCTACAAGTGCCCCGACTGCGGCAAGTGCTTCAGCTGGAGCTCCAACCTGGTGCAGCACCAGCGCACGCACACGGGCGAGAAGCCCTACAAGTGCACGGAGTGCGAGAAGGCCTTCACCCAGAGCACCAACCTCATCAAGCACCAGCGCTCGCACACGGGAGAGAAGCCGTACAAGTGCGGCGAGTGCCGGCGGGCCTTCTACCGCAGCTCGGACCTCATTCAGCACCAGGCCACGCACACGGGCGAGAAGCCCTACAAGTGCCCCGAGTGCGGCAAGCGCTTCGGCCAGAACCACAACCTCCTCAAGCACCAGAAGATCCACGCCGGCGAGAAGCCCTACCGCTGCACCGAGTGCGGCAAGAGCTTCATCCAGAGCTCGGAGCTGACCCAGCACCAGCGCACGCACACCGGCGAGAAGCCCTACGAGTGCCTGGAGTGCGGCAAGAGCTTCGGCCACAGCTCCACCCTCATCAAGCACCAGCGGACTCACCTGCGCGAGGACCCCTTCAAGTGCCCGGTGTGCGGCAAGACCTTCACGCTGAGCGCCACGCTGCTGCGGCACCAGCGCACGCACACGGGCGAGCGGCCCTACAAGTGCCCCGAGTGCGGCAAGAGCTTCAGCGTCAGCTCCAACCTCATCAACCACCAGCGCATCCACCGCGGCGAGCGGCCCTACATCTGCGCCGACTGCGGCAAGAGCTTCATCATGAGCTCCACCCTCATCCGCCACCAGCGCATCCACACGGGCGAGAAGCCCTACAAGTGCTCCGACTGCGGCAAGAGCTTCATCCGCAGCTCCCACCTCATCCAGCATCGACGCACGCACACGGGCGAGAAGCCCTACAAGTGCCCCGAGTGCGGCAAGAGCTTCAGCCAGAGCTCCAACCTCATCACCCATGTCCGCACCCACATGGATGAGAACCTGTTCGTGTGCTCCGACTGCGGGAAGGCCTTCCTGGAGGCGCACGAGCTGGAGCAGCATCGGGTGGTTCACGAGAGGGGCAAGACCCCAGCCCGGAGAGCTCAGGGCGACACCCTGCTAGGGTTGGGCGACCCTGCCCTGCTAACGCCACCCCCCGGAGCCAAACCACACAAGTGTCTTGTCTGCGGAAAGGGATTCAACGACGAGGGCATTTTCATGCAGCATCAGCGCATCCATATTGGAGAAAACCCCTACAAAAATTCAGATGGCCTCATCGCACACCCAGCCCCCAAGGCGCCTCAGTTCCGACCCCCCAGGCTCCCTTTCGGAGGGAATTCCTATCCAGGTGCTGCGGAGGGCAGAGCCGAACCCCCAGGACAGCCCTTTAAAATGCCTGAAGGGCAGGAGAGCTTTGGCCAAAGGCTGGGCCTGCTCTCCTCCAAGTCCTACATTTGTTCCCACTGTGGAGAAAGTTTTCTGGATCGGGCTGTGCTCCTCCAACATCAGCTCACCCACGGCAATGAAAAGCCCTTTCTCTTTCCTGATTATAGGATTGGTCTAGGGGAAGGGGCAGGGCCCAGTCCCTTCCTAAGTGGAAAGCCCTTTAAATGCCCTGAATGCAAAAAAAGCTTTGGCCTCAGCTCTGAGCTGCTGCTGCACCAGAAAGTGCATGCAGGTGGAAAACCCCAGAAGAGTCCAGAGCTGGGGAAGAGCTCTTCTGTCCTCCTGGAGCACCTCAGGAGCCCCCTGGGGGCCAGGCCCTACAGCTGCTCAGATTGTGGGGCCTCCTTTCTCGATCGCCTGGCACTCGTCCGGCACCAGGAGACCCACACCCAAGAAAAGTCCCCCACCCCCGAGGAGCCCCTTCCAGAGCCAGCCACCCTGCCCACAAGCCAGGAAGATGAGGGAGAGGCCCCCACCCGCACAGGGAGCAGCAGCCATGGGGATGGGGAAAACCCCAAGACCCTCTCAGAAGAAAAGCCCTATTTGTGCCCTGAGTGTGGAGACGGCTTCGCAGAAGTCGCGGCCCTCCTCCTCCATAGGAGCTGCCACCCAGGGGTCACCTTGTGAAATGAGTCTGGAGACCAGGGGCCTCTCTCTCCTGAGAGGAACACTGGCTCTCCCCAGAAGTTATGTGGGGAAAGGAGGAAAACCCTATCAGATTGTAGAGAAACGGAGCATAAAGAACCCTGGGTATAAATAGTGCTTTTACATCAGTAATGAGAAACCCTATAAAATTGTTGGTGGGAACCACTTATAAGAGGCAGTAGAGAAAAACTGTTGGGTTAGAAACCCTATAAATATGTAGGAAAAAAAAAGCCCTTTAAGTCTGTAGCAGAAAAACCCTATAAACCATAGTGGATAAAAGCCCTATTAATTGTAGGAAGAGGTCCTAATATGTCTCTAGACAACCCTATAAAACTGTTATCAAAATCCTTGTGAAACTATAGGGTCGGGGAAGTGCAGGGAATCCAATGGCATTGACTCGAGAGGAGTGACCCTCAGAAGGTGTAGAAGAGCCTCCCATGAACTTGTTCCACAGTGTTCTCTCCCCCTGGAGTACGGGAGGGAGCCTCTCTCACCAGAAGACTTGGACAGTGACACTGAGGAAAATGCTCAGCTGGGGACTAGTGTGGGGAGAGGCGAAAAATAAGTGATGCGGAGCCCCCAGACCCACAGAGAAGAAACGACCCAAGAAACTAGGAAGAGAAAGTCCAGCTCGCTGCACTGGGGGTTCCTTGGGATATGAGGCCAATCTTAGGTGATTGTGTGTTAGAGGAAGAGGCCCATGGAATTCCTTATCGGGAAGAATCAAAAAATGGGGAAGGAAAAAAGTGATGGCAAGCCTTTTTAAAGGCTGAAATTTGGGGTGCATAGAAACTTTAAGAATACTGGGAAGCCACCGCAAAAATTGGGGGGCAGGAGGGAGATTTCTGTTCGTGCTTTGAGGAAAGCAAACCAAGGTGAAGCTGTGGATGGAACCCAGCCAATTCGGGGCTGCCCAGTCTTCTCTGTTTCCGGGAGCTTGTTAAACTACAAGTGCAAGCAGATCCCAGCTCAGGCCGCCGGGGCTCCCCGCAGCCAGGCAGGATGGGGAACTTCTAGTCTGAGAGGCCTCCGGGGCTGGAGGGTCCCTCCTGCCCATTCTCAGGTCTCACTGTCAGGAGGTTTCTCCTGAAATCTAACTGCCACCAGGTCTCACTTCCTCGAATTCTGTCCTTAGTGGAGAGGGGGAACCGCTGCTAGTCGACCTCCAAAGAATAAAGCCCTTCAGAGACTCAAGGCCTGTGTGTGGTTAAATCCTCCCTAGACGTCTCTCCTCCAAGTCAGTGAGAGTCATGTGTGGGTTCTCTGTGGCAATGGACAGCAAGTCGACAGAATAGAGCGCTCATTACCCAGCAACCTGCTTTTAAACCTCACTTATTCATCTGAGCTGCTCGCGAGGCTGCTGGCGGGATGAGCCAGCCTGCACGTAGTGGTGGGGGTCCAAACACCCTCCCAGACTGGGCCATGGGTCCCTGAAGAGCATACGGAGGCCTGGCCACCTTCCTCCCCCTGGTACTTGGAGCTCTCTGAAGTCGTGACGCCCCGGCCTGATCGTGGTCTTGGATGGGGACAGATCCCACCCACTTGGCTCCTCTCCTCCTCAGCCAGCAACCTTCGGAGGGAAATGGGAGGATGAGAAACACATTCCCTGGCCCGACCCATCTCCTGTCTTCACACACCACACAGTTCCACTCTTTCATTAACGCCGCCAGACCCGCTAATGTGACTGAGTGTGTGTGGCAGGGGAGAGAGACTGCTGCCCTATAAAATGGTTGAGTGAAAACTCTTCAAACATCTGTAACAAGAACCCCACAGCGTCACCCTGGAGACCCTTAAGGAAAGCGAGGACTCTGTCCAGTGCTGGGTCTAAAAGAAGTGCCCACTGACCCACGCTGGTGCCACTAATGCACTGTGGTCCTGGAGTCAGAACTGAGATGCCGGGTGAGGGGGCCCTTCAGGAGTCGCATCCCTGGAGAGGGCGACTGGACTCCTCAAAGCTGTGGAAGAGACCTCTAATTCCATTACCCAAAAGCTCAAAAGGTGAAAGCCCTTCACCCTTCATCTCTCCTGCCCCCAAAGGGATGACCTTGAATTCAAAGGATCAAAATCTAGAACACTGCAAGAGGAAAAACCCAGGCCTGCTGGGGAGAAGGAAAAGGCAGGTCTTGGATAATTGTGGGGAGACCCTTATGCCATTTGTGTAAAGCCCCACCCCACCCAAGTGCCAGGTCAGAAAGCACTACTGAGAGGGGAGAAGGAGCCTGCCTGACGAATCTCTACTGACAGAAGCGTCAACAAAGGGGGTGTCCCTATGAGACTGAGGAAGAGGAGACCATTCTCCAAGTCAAAGATTTTTTGTTAAGATGATAGTAGAAAGAAACTTCAGTTGTAGAGACAAACCCCTTGTAAAGCTAGAAGCAGCGCCCCTCGGAAACAGGTCTGAGGAATCTGTCTCCAGGAGAGTCCTGGAGAGCAGCCTTTGGGGCTCAGGGGCCGGTCCCGGGGGGGAGGGGAGGTGGTCAGTATGGTCAAAGGCCAACTGTAGGCCTATTGAGGACTAGGGTGTAGCACACGTAGTAGGATGCTCGCATGTTGTAGGGATGGGTGAGGGCCAGCGGTCTTGGCTCCGGTACTGAATGGATGACGTGGACACGATTAGGTGGGGTCTGGGGTTTCATAGCAGGAAAGGGGCAGAATCGGAGACCTCTGGGGGGTGACCTGTTCTCTCTTGCCCACCTCCCCAAACACCTTTACCCAGGTGCTTCCCTCCCAGAGTGAGCTACATCTTAGGAGGAACTAAGCAGGAAGCTGGCTTGGGGAGGTGGCAGTGTCCAGAGTCTCTCTGACCAGAGTAGGCAAAGGTCCAGGGGTCGGTCGTGGCACTTGCCACCAGAACTTAGTCCGGAAGGCGTGGTGTCCCCAAACCCTTCTGTCCAGCTCCACGCAGGCCTGACTTCAGAAGTGCCCTGGGGGAGGAGCCCAACAGACAGGGTCACAGAGTCACTGGTGAAAGCAAGGGGGGAGAGGGGACATCGATCTGAGCTTAGGGTACAATTTGGAACTGCTATGGCTATGGAGGTCACATGGGAACTCAACAGAAGCAGGCATGAATCCTGAATGGTGGGGAAACTTGAAACCATCACGACCAAGAGGTGGGATCCCATGACACCCGCTCCTCAGGTGAGCAGCCCCCAGACTCTTTTGCCCCATTAGGGAAGCCCCACTCACCTGACTTGTCTCCGTGGAGTGAAGAGAGGCCCCACTTTTGAGTGTTGTGTGTCAATAACAGTGTTGTGTCACCGGTGGTCATGTTGATTAGTTGAAGAGAATAAAGGGAATAAGATTTCCCGGGTGTTTTCTGTCTTCCCTTTCGAGCCTGGAAAGAGCTGAAGGAGCCTGTCCTCTCCCAGAGCCCGGGTCCGTTTGTAACCTCAAAAGCTCAGCCCATCCCAGGCCACCCTTGCACCCTTCATTCAGATGCCCTCAAATCCCTATCTGGTGCTTGCAGATAGGAGCCTGAGGGTTTGTGGATTTCAAAAATCCATATCCTTGGGAGAAAGGGGGAGAAATGTGCTGAGATGGTGGCAGAGCCAAGCAGGTCTTGGTGCCTGGCTTTGGCACCAGCATGACATGCTGACTCCTGGGTGGCTGCCTGGTGCGTCCGGCACTGGTGGGCTCCCATCCAGCCATGCAGCCCCAGGGGGGCCTCTCTGACCATGGCAACCGCGCTCCTCCCAAGACTGCCACAAGGGAAAGCTCCTAAGCTCTGGTTCCAAAAGCTGGCAGCCACCTCCCCTGGTTCACCTGGGGCCCGGTCAGCCCTCCTCTGGGCCAGAGCCTCCTGTCTAGGAGAGACCTGAAGAGACCTGGATGGAGACCTGGCTTGTCCTCTCATCCCCAGGAGGTAGCCCATAAGCCCTCACTGTGTGAAGAGGCTCAGAGAAGGGCAGCCACTTGCCCAAGATCCACAGGACGGCAGTGAGGGAAACCAGAATGACCGGGAGCAGGCTCTGCACCCAACCAAGCCTCTCCTCCCCCAGCGCTGGGCCTGCCTGGGCCTGGCCTGGGCTCCACATTGTCTGGCCAGGTGGGGCTGCTCTAATGAATCCTCAATGCCAGGCTTGCCTCAGTGCTATCTCCTGGGCCTAGGCCTGGCCATGGCTCCCCGAGCAGCCACCTGAGGTCAGCACTTGCTCTAACCTGTAGCCTGCCTCTGTCCCAGCCTGCAGGGAGCCTCCTGCCCCAGCCAAGAAGCTTTCTCTCCACTTTCTCCATGCCTCTCTGACCCTGACTCGCAAGGCAGGCTTACTGTCTCGCCTTCCCTTTCCCCATGTAGAAAACGAGGAGTAGAGTAGTAGGTAAGGGAGGAGGGTGAGGTGAGCAATGAAGGCTCTCCTGGATTCTGTGTTCCCTGCCCTGGTTCCAGCGCAGAGGTCTTCAGTAAAGTGAGGGGATTTCAGGGGAAAGAACAGGCACTGGAGCACAGTGATTGGTTCAGAGACTTAGCAGAAGGGGCTGTGGACCCAGATGTGGTGCCCGCCACAACAGAGGGTCAGGAAACTGGCTGGAGGAAGTGACCTGAGGCATGAGAACAGGGGCCAGGGGTGGGTGGGGTGGGGGATAGAGAGTATATAGCAGTTATGTGGCAGGGAGTGGGCGGTTAGATCACAGAGGGGGTAGAGATTAAGGTAAGGTAGAGAACACAGGCCAGAGTATACAGCATCTTGTCTGAAGAACTTGGGGGTAGAGCACCACTGGGATCTTTAAGGAGATTTTAAGGAGAGTGACATGACCTCACCCCCCTCCTGCTCCCCAACAACTGGTGGTGTTTTTCTAGGTCTGGAGCTCAGGAAAGAGAATTGGGCTGGAGGATTGGGTCTTAGCAGCTTAGCTGTAGCCCAAACCATGGACGAACACACAGGAAGACTGGCAGAGAGAGGAGAGGATGTAGCTTAGGGGTGGAGGAACAGGACCAACAGAAGACAGTAAGTATAAGGCCAGTCAGGACAGTTAGCACCACAAGTCCAAGATTAAAGAGAGTGATTAGTGTCAAATGCTCCATTGGACCCTGTAGCCAATCACACAGCAGCCCCAATTCTGGTTAAAACAGGCACCTTCCCCACTGAGGCCAATATCTGCTCACCCCTAAGAGGCCAGCTAAGGTCAGTGTTGGTTCAGGAGGAACTTTGGCCTGCCCATCCCAGGGGCCCAGGGTTTCACAGCCACTGAAGCCACTTGGGGCTACTGGGAGTTGTAAGGGGTCAAACTTCCTGAGTGGAGAGACCTGACCAACCCCAAAGACAGAGCTTCCCAGCACTGGGCAGACTGATTGCAAACCAACATTCATGGGGAATACTCTTTTCCTCCCACCACATCAGTGCTTGATCCTGCCACTGAAATTCTGGCATCTTTATCCCACACATTGGGCTTGAGCAAGTGGTTTGGTACCTACTTTATTAAAGACTCACAGAGTTTTTACTTCTCAGGGTATGGAGACTGGTCAAGAAGAGACTTTTCAGAAAGTGATGTGTAGTTAGCTTGTATTTACTTAAAAAACCCGTGTGGAGGGGACTCCTGAGAAAAGCCAGTAGTGCTCACAGAGGATTGGCTGACCCCGACCTCTCCCGGGCGCGGCCCTCTCAGAGCCGGCCCGCGTCTCTATGATGCAATATGCTGCGTTTGTCCCATCCTGGCGTCCGCTGCCCCTAGGCGGCGGACACTTCCTGGAAGGCCCGATGCCATCCCCCGCCGCGGCCCGGGTCTCCGCCAGCGTGCCCACCGCGGCCAGCCCAGCGCCGGAAGTCACTGTGGCCCGCGTCTCCGTCTTCAGTCCGACCTGGTCCAGCCACTGCAGCCCCACCGAGACGCTGGACGCCAGGTGGGGCCCAAAGGCTGACAAGGCCGCGAGCCCCCGCGAAGGCGGGACTGCTGCCAAGCCTGCGGCCACTACCGTCACCCCCCGCCCAACTCCGGCACCCAGCCCAGTCGGCACTGGCCCCGGCGCGAGCCCCGCCACAGCCGCAGACCTCACAGCAAGCTGAACCCACAGACGCCAATCGACACACGGTTCCCGAGAACACGGCCAGCAGCCAGAAAAAGTTACAATGAAGGAAGTCATCCGCTGCGCTGCTCTCCTCTGTCCGCCTGAGGGGAGGGGCGGGTGAAGCCGCTGGGGAGCGATAGCCCGCAGATTGCGTCCAGGTCTGCCTTTGGCCGGTACAACCCTAGAACCGGCTCTCTCCACGGAGGACCTTGTTACCTGATGATTAAGGGACTACATTTCCCAGGATGCAGTACGAGACCCCCGGCATCCCAGCGACCAATTATTGAGAGGGGCGTGGCGAGAGCCTGCAGCCAGGGCGGCAGAGACGCCGGGATCGTGGGAGTGTCAGCCCTCCCCCGTAGCAGCAGGAGGGGCAGGCCGGTGACAGTGGAGAACGATGCTCTCTCCCTGCAGACATGCTCCTCCCACGAGCCCAGTTTAGGATCCACGACGGCAATCCAAATGTAACTAGATGCTGGGGGTGGGAAACGCGAGGTTGCTGTGCAGGCCCTTGGGGGGGGTTTACCTGCCAGGCAGGACAGCGCTGGAAGTGTAGCAGCTAAAATCTGGGACCACGTTTAGGGCAGGAAGCCTGGCTACTTGGACTGCAGGCTGAGGGTTGGATGTTTATTCATAACATTAACAGCCTATACAAGACATCTCCAGAGCAGGGCCTGTGGGTCTGAATGGACCCTTGCACCTGTCAGCAGCTCCATCTTCCAGGCCCCTGCCTGCTGCCTTCACAACCATGGGAGTTTGCTTGGGCAGACAGCACAGGTAGCATCATGGGGACAGGCTCAGTCACAGGGTGTTAGATGAAGCTCCTCTACCTGGAATGATCGGAAGTTGGCCCAGCCGCTAGTCTGTCCCTTCCCCTCCTGGGACATAATGCCTCCATGAAGTTAAGGCCACCAGGATGAAAGCAGGGTCAGAGTTTGGGAAGCATGAGGTGGGGGTAAGTGGGTTTGGGAGAGAAACAGATGGGTGGGGGGAGGCTGATTAGAATAAAGACTGATGATCTTGGTTCAGCACCCTTGAGATGAGGGCAAGGTGACTGCAACAGCCAGAGTTTCCCAGAAGAGGACAGTGCTCCCGCCCCCCCCCCCCCCCTTTACAGGGGGGTACCTCCTTCAGCCAAGAGCCCAGTGAATCCACAGGAGGGAAGTCCCACCTAAGTGTGGAAAAGTCTCCGTGGGCCCAAGAGTTCAGGAGGTGGGGAAACTGGCCCACCCTTGGTCCTCACTTGTGGGTGTATAAGCAAGCAGGTAGTGAGCCTCCTCTTGAGTGGGAGGTCACAGCCTGGGGGATTTCACCCTTTGGACAGGGATGGGCCCAGGGAGACAGCTGGAGAAGGATTAAGGTCAGCTTCCAGGAAGCTCAGTTGAATGCTCTGGACCCTCAGGCCTCTCACAGCTGACCCTTCCTGCAGGGCAGATGCCCCTTAGGCTGTAGCTCTGTGTGGAAAAGGTATAACTGAGCTTGCCAGATCTCACTCCCACTAGCATGCACTGGGACCCCCAAACCAACTAGGTGGAGAGGGGCTGGGCCCCCAAGTTCCGGAATGGAGGGTAAGGGCCATGTGGGGAGGGGAAGGACTGGAGGCACAGCCCCCAGGGTCCATGGGTGTTCCAAAGTCCCCTGAGTTACGGGTTCAGCTGATGTAGACACGGTGGAAGTCGTGGGCACCAAAGGCTGCGTTGCACTTGGGGCACTTCCTCTGGCGGGCCTCATAGCGGCCCCGCACGCACTCGAAGCAGAAAACGTGGAAGCACTTGGTAAGGACTGCATCCTTCTTGCGGGTGTTACAGCAGGGGCAGGTCAACCGCGCCTGGGCCAGGCAAAGGCATCAGCTCGGGACAGTCCTGATGGCCCCCAGACCCCAAGCTGACAGCAGGAGGTGGTCCAGGCTAAGCCCACCACACAGCAGACTGCATCTAACTCTCACCATAACCCTGAGAGATGGGGATGGGCACTCTCCGGATGAGGAAACTGAGGCTCAGAGGCCAAGGTCTCAAAACCAGAAAGTAGCAGAATCTGGATTCTAACCCAGGCAGTGGTGGCCAGTGGGCAACATGTTCTCCCCGCCCTGCTCAAAAGCCAATAACCCAAAGGCCCAGCCGGGACTCCCCTGCCTTGGGGCTTTATCTCTTGCCGCTCTGGCCTTCTCTGGCAAAAGCCCAATCCTGGCTGAAGCTGACGATCTACCTTCTCTTCATCTGCACCTGCTGGGCATAGCAGTGCCACTAGAAATCTCCCAGCTCCACCCTCAACTGGGCCCACCCCTGGTGCTGCCCAGAGATCCTGCTGGGTCCCTGGACTCACTCTTCTCTACGAAGAGTGAAACCTCCTGAAACATCTACCGGCCACCAGGTCTCATGTCCAACTCCAGGAATTCCCTCAACTCAACATTCCCCGACATTCTTCCTCTGCCCCACTTGACAGCCCAGGCCAGCCCACACCCCAGCATCACCTCTTCCCTTAGCTGTCAAACCATCCTCGTCAAAGTCCATCTTTTCTGGAGAAACCCTCCTCTGCCTCCCCATGGCCTCCCCCAGCTACCCCTGCCCCTTCAAGGCCAAACTGCAGGCTTCTCTTCCTTTATCATTTAAGCTTTGAGATTCCTAAGGGAAAAGAATAACCCACCCCGTATCATATCACAGACCCTCCCTGGGTGACCACAGTTCTATTTGGCTTCCACCATTACCTCTGCCTGCAGACAATCCTCCAACCTCATCATCCAGAAAGTCCTTCTGCTTCGAATGCCTTGCCAGCCTCCCAAAGGCACATTTTCAACATCCCTGAGATACAACACTGTCCACCAACACCTACTCCTTTGAGGTCTTCCTAATCCTACCATATGCCACTAGTTTCTCCAATCAGGAACCCAGGAGCTCTCAGGATCTCCCTTTCCCTCACTCCATGAATCAATCCATCCCTGAGTCCAAGCACTTCTGCCTCCTAAATATCTCCTCACCTCTTCTACTTGTCTCTAACACCCAAGGCTAGCTCCCTACCAGTTTTTGCCTCAATGACTGCAACTGCTTAAGAGATTTCTCTGCCTCTAGTCTTTACCCCCTCTAGCCCAAATCCAGCCATATAACTCTCTGGTTTAAACCCCCTTGATGTCTCCATACTACCTACAGGATAAACCAAGCGTCTCAACCTGACTCACCACACCCTTCAGGATCTGACACTGTTCAAGACCCTCAGCTTTCCTGCTCATCACAAAACCTACATTCTGTCTTCCAATTACAGTGTCCAGCAATCTGTGCTCCAGCACACCGCTCTCAGTGAAGGACCTCTACCTTTCCCTTTGCTGGAACCCTCTCATCTTCATTACTCACAGTCAACTCTCATTCTTCAGGTTCCCTTGGAGGACATTCCTTCCAGGAAACCTGCTAACCCCCAGAGCTGCCGTGGGGTTAGCCATCACATCGCTCATCACTGAGAATATTGGCTGCTTCCTTCAACAGACGGTCAGTTTCAAGAAATCAAAGACTAGAGCTAGTTCCTAGCCCTCCCACACCTGGCCAGGCACTGTGCCTGGCATGAGCACATGTACATTCGTCAGCTGTTTGATTCTCCACAACTAGGGCCCTGCCCACCTTTTTTATCTAACCTTATTTCTGGGGTCCCCAGGCTATCCACTATAGCCCTCGCCAACTCCCCATCTAAGATTCCTGGGTTGTTGGGGCACAACTCAGCCCCACGGCCCCACCTTGTATTCCTTGATCTCCTCCTGGAGAATTTCATCGGCATCTGCGTAAACCTCCACCTTCCTCTGCTTCTCCAACTTGCGCCGCAGTCGGGAGATGTCCTCCTGGGGCAGGAGAAGGGCTAGGCTAAGTGCAAGGGTCCTCATCTTGAACCACCCGCCCCTAGGCCACATCAGTGACCCTGAACAACCCTGTCCCTACCCCATGCACACACCTGAGCCCTCTTGAGGTTGAAGCTCTCTTTCTCGCGAGCGGCCCGGCTCTCTGCCAGGCAAGGCTGGATCTCTCGCAGCCGCGTCTGTACGTGCTCCAGCTGCACCTTTAGGTCCTCGGCCAGCTGGGCTGCTTCCACAGCCTGGGGTAGGTGGAACAGGTTAAGGGTGGGCTCGCCTGAGCCTGGCGAGTCAGGCATGTGGAGCCATGGTCTACAGATGCCTGTGTCAAACATTCCAGTGATTCCTGCTCTTGGGATCAAGTCCAGGATCTTCACTGGAGCTAGTTCTGCCTCCTGACCTCTCCACCTTCACCTCTATCTCTGCAGTTCCTGACACGCTCACTTCCTACCTGCATAACTCTCTCTCCTATCTCTGAACCTCCACAGGGCTCTTCTCTCTTCTCCCCTCAACACCCCCAACACACAGGTTTCTTTCCAGTGGCTCCCTCAGCCCTCAGCTTACATGTCGGTTCTGGAGACAGGCTCCCCCTGTTTTTCTTTCACAGCACCTTAGTTTCCTTCACAAGATTTACTGGAATCTGCAGTAACATATTTTACCTGTGGGATATCTGGCTATCTACCTCCTCAAGACTGAAGTTCCCATTTCCGGTAGGACCCTCTTATTCCAGGTTCTCCATAGCACTCAGTGCCGGGGGTACATGGCAAGGGGATGAATTATACTGCTTTAATGAATCAATTAAATGTGGGGGGGGGGGGG